TTATATATGCGCAGTGTTTTTATTTCTTTTCCAAGAAAAGGAATAAACTAAGTTATATATATATGGAATGTAATCCCAACATTCTCTATAATTAAGAAAAAAAAATCATAAATTTAAAATTAAGGTAATTCTTATCAAAACGAACGTATTTTCTTTCATATCTCAATTTTATTTACTTAATGTTTTAAAACTTAATTTGGTAATTGACCCGTTTTTAACCTTTGTTCTAATTCAATTGCTTTAATTGACTAGTTCTATTTATCAATTTAAAATTGATTTTTTTTCTATATTTTTAAATATTTTATTAAAAATATTGTAGTTATATATCACATGATATTATAAATTTACAACGTGATGTGTCATTTTTTAATTTAACTCTTTTCATTCAAAAATTTACTTATAATATTATATGCATCTATTAGTTTAATATCACATTATATTTATATATTTATTTAATATCATATAAAATTGTAGGCCTAAAATCTTACACATGGCATACTAACTATAGAATTAGCTATAAAAAAAGTGCATATTAGTCCCAACTCCTAAAAATAATTAGAATTTCAATCTTAATTTACGTCAGTTTATTTAATTAAAACTCAATTCAAAATTTTAAAAGTTATCTTATTAAATGTTGATATTTAGATTTGAGAAAAGTTCATATCAGTTACAACTTTTAAAAATAATTGAAATCTCAACCTTAAATTATATAATTTTATTTAATTAAAACTCAAATTAAAATTTGAAAAATTATCTTCTTAAATGTTGTGATATTAGAATATATAATGAATTTCCAAATTTAGATATTAAAACTCAAAGGCTAGTTGTGTTAACCTGTTGACGACCACTTAAAAGGGATTAAGTGTGAAAATATAAAAAAGAAAAATGAGTCACCACTCGTTCAAATTATAAGGTGGGATAAGTCACCTAAAAATAGGTTTGCGTAAAAATCAGGGTTCGGGGGTTCGGTTAGGAGCGAAGAAAGGCATACGTGCACCTCACAATCCTCCGTTTAAACACGGTTGCATATTTTAAAATTGGGGTTTTGATTCAACTTATTAATTATGTTTGTACTTAAGTCTTAATAAGCAAGCTTAAAAAAATGATAAACCAAATTGAAACATTTTTGGGGTTTTTGGACTAAAATCGATGAATTCAAGAACATGCATGCAAAGTGAGCATAAATAAAAAGCTAAAGGACTAATTTGATTAAATTCAAAACATGGAGGACTGATTTGATTAAATACAAAACATAGATGACTGATTTGATTAAATTCGAAACATAGAGGACTGATTTGATTAAATTCAAAACATAAAGGACTGATTTGGTTAAATTCAAAACATAAA